AGCAGATGCAGGGTTGCATGCCTGTACTCAGCAAATGCAGTGTTGCATGTCTGTACTCAGCAGCAGCATATGCAGGGTTGTAAGCCTGTACTCAGCAAATGCAGCAGATGCAGTGCTACAAGCCCGTACTCAGTAGCAGCTGGTGCAGTGCTGCTGCATACCTTTACTCTAAACAACACAATTACTTGACTTCAGTAACTCGGGGCCAGCCTGAGCAACATGGCAAACACCTAGTCTCCTTATTAAAAAGAAAGAAAGAAAGAAAGAAAGAAAGAAAGAGAGAGAGAGAGAGAGAGAGAGAGAGAGAGAGAGAGAGAGAGAGAAAGAAAGAAAAGAAAAGAAAAGAAAAGAAAGAAAGAAAGAAAGAAAGAAAGAAAGAAAGAAAGAAAGAAAGAAAGAAAGAAAATATCGGTAAATCAGGGAAATGCTGAAGAAAAAACATCTGTGCGTCTAACAACCACCTTCTCTCCAAAGCATGTTTTTATAGCCCCATTTAACAATAAAGTCCCAAGACCTGGTCTCTAACACTTTTTTACCAAGGTAAAAATGCTCAGTCTGTTTACTAGAGATTCTAGTCAGCACAGACAGACCCACCACCCCAGAAAAAAAGAATTCACACTGGGAAAGTAAAAGAGTAAGGCTTACATACAATCTGATCCTGCATATAAGAAACCCTATGGAATACACACACACACACACACACACACACACACACACACACATCCCTAAAGTTGTTGAGGAAGGTTGCAGGATACAAAGCTGATATAGAAATACCAAGTTAACAAAACCCTATAATCTTGTGAATCACTGGTAAGGGAACTGTAAACAGTTTACCCTAAAAGATATTCCTGCAAACAAATAATTAAAAATGCACTTTAAAATACAACATCTTATATTCAGGCATAGTAGTGCATGCCTTTAATCTGAGTGTCTGAAAGGCAGAGACAGGTGAGTCAGAGGTCACTCTGGCCTACACGGGTGAATTCCAGGACAGCCAGGGGCTATAGACAAAGTGTACTCCAAAAAAGTATACAGTTTGGGGGCTACAAAAAACTCAGTGGTTAAGAGACCTGTTGCTCTTACAGAGAATGCACGTCTGGTTCCCAGCACTCACTTCATGGCTCACATTTGCCTGCAACTCCAGCTCCAGATGACCCAACACTCTCTTCTGCTGCCTACCAGCTCATCCCCACACATGGCACACAAAAAGGCTTTCAGGCATACACCCATACAGTTAAAATAATGTTGTTTAAAATTAGATACACATTAAAAATACTAACCAGTGAATTAAAGATCTCAGTGAAGTGCACCTAAGGAATTCTAACGAAGTTCCATGGAGACTATTGCCACGTGTCTAAACACCTGCATAAAAATTGGTTTTATTCTTGAAAAACTTCCTTACAGAGAAGTCAAATTTGTAAATAAGAATATAACTGAACTTCACAAATTTTAAAATATTCCAATAAGCAGAAAACTGTAAGCTACATATATTATCAATTGGAAAGAAATTGTTTTTTTTTTTTGTTTAATGAGCACCGGTGGTTTGCCTGCACATACGCTCTCATGATGTCAGATCCTGGAACTGGAGTTACAGACAGTTGTGAGCTACGATGTATGTGGGTGCTAGGAACGGAATGAGTCCTTTGGAAGAGCAGCCAGTACTCTTAACCACTGAGCCATCTCTCCAGCCCAAAGAATTTACATTTTTTAAACATGGAAAATTTCGTATTTGTTAAACTTTGAATTCCCCCTAAGATTCTATACTATTCCAAATCAATACTGAAAAAATTATCAGGGTGGTAACTCAGTAAAGTGATCACCTTGCAAGCATGAGGAGCAGAGTTTGACTCCAGCATCCATGAAAATGTCAAGTGGGTATGGAACACTCAGGATAAATATGTGTAGACACATATATATGCAGGCACACACATGCAAAAAAGAATTAACAATGAAATGCAGATATATGTAGATCTAAGACTTGTCCTTAACAAAAGAATGAACAATGCAAATACATTTAAAAACAGATTTTACTGTGTCTGATTAAAGAAATAAAAGAGCAATTGGGTAGATGATCCATCAAGTCTACCTCCGGGATCTCCCCCACTAAAGACACACCTTCAATGACACAAAATACAGTCAGATGCATTAACCACTGTACTATTAAACATACTGCAAAATGTAGGAAACCCCTCAATGCCTTAGAAAGGAAAAGAGGTTGAAGAGACAGTGCACTGCCACATACTGGAGTGCTGCACCTCTGTGCAAAATAAGGAAGTCTCTAGAACCAATACAGAGATTACAAAGGCATACTATTCACCAGAAAAATGTGCAATGGAGAATGCCATCCTTCGCATAAGTACAATCATGAGCATATTAAACACCTGCGTATACAAAAAATTAAAAAAGAATTTATAAAAAGTTTTATTCTATCTTGTGTAACACCAAACAAGCCATTTCAGTTTGTCCCTGTCCATGACTTAATTGCCAAACACCAAGAAACCTGACATATAAACACATACACACACACACACAAGCATGTGCCTGCTATTTATGCAGAAGAAATGAAGGTTGAACCGGAAACTGAAAGCATAGGTCACTTACATTTGGAAGATGAGTTTCAGTGAGACTCGTTCCTCACAGTCTCACAACAGTGTGAGAGGAAGAGGCAGTGAGGAGGGTAAGAGAGAGTGACACTTCTCTGATACACCTCACTCAGCTCTGACTCAGAATCACATTAACTTTCACAGACCTTTTACGTATCTCCCAGATAAATTGTTAATCCAGTCAGGATGTGGAGTGAAGCCACAGCAAAATACAAAGAACAAATCAACCCAAGAGTTAACACAATCCTAGTGAAAGGGATGAAAGCGGCAAGGGAACACACAGAACCAAAGGAACTTTGGACACTAGTTTCCCGAACCCTACTATAAAAAACTGCACACAATGGCACACAGTGTCTTTCTCCCAGGAGTACGAACAAGCACTACTCAAACTGCCTAGTGTGTTCACAGACAAGTGTATATAAGAGCCAGGCTAGCTGGTGGAAAAAGATGTCACAAATATGAATAATCAAATGACTCATGTCTCAGATTAGAATCAAGTCTCGGTGTAAAGGTAAAGTTTTAACATACTCAGATATTAGCGTGTTATCTGTTAGTGTACATACACGCACAGCTCTGCCAGCTGGATAGGCTAAGCAGTGATGCTAAGCACTGATGCAAACACATAAAAGCAGCTGTTGATCTCTAGCTCATTCCAGGGCTGGGACAGAATAAAAAAGCAGAAGATAAGCCTGTAATGTTTAGGTGTTTAAGAGCAAAAGTACTCAAGGTCTGAGAAAACTTAGTCTGATGCAAGCCTATTGTCCCAGCCCCTGAACCAGGGATAGGAGGACATCAAGTTCAAGCCCAACCTGGGGGACACAGTGAGATTCTGCCCCCCAAAAGCAAGTCTTACGTCCATACAAATGAAAGTATAGCCGGGCGGTGATAGCTCACACTGTTAATCTCAGAACTCAAGAGGCAGAGGCAGGCGGATCTCTGTAAGTTCCAGGCCAGTCTGGTCTACAAGAGCTAGTTTCAAGGCAGACTCCAAAGCTACAAAGAAACCCTGTCTTGAAAAAAAAAAAAAAAAACAAAAAAACTCACCCCCCCCAAAAAAAACAAATGAAAGTATAGTTTCAAGTTACAGCTTAAAACTTTTTAAGACTGACTTGATGAAACTGATACTGTTTCATTTGGGTCTTCTGCAGAAAACACCAACACACACTGTTGGACACTTTTTCTTTGCTTCTTCCATCATGGCATGGGGGGGGGGTGGACGGGACACCTATTTAAAAGGAACACAAATACATAAAAGCAGGCTCAAAATAAGTTCATGAACATGGAACGTTATTTAATGACAGAACACTTGAAGTTACATGTAGAAAGAAAGACACAGCAGTCCTACAAGGAGGCTTGCATCTGGAGGTTAGCACAGAAAGCCTTGCTTAGGTGGCAGCTAAGGAGGAGGAACAGGGTGCTCCTGGGGTGGGTGTGATGTGAGGTTTGGCTTGAGAGTTGGCTGGTCAGGAAGGAAAAGCCATTTTTAAGTACAAAATATGTGTACAGATGATCAACATTGGCTAGAAAAACATATTTTTAGGAAGTCTTTCAAACTTAGTCCCCTGTTCTAAATTACCCATTAATGGATTCAAGCTCACCCCTTTATCATTAAAATACATATTTCATAAAACTTCGACAGTGGCACTGCTCTAGTTACAGCTCCGACTTTTCTAGGACATAATTTCACTTTGTTTAAGCAAGAATTCATTAAAGAAGCTATAAATAACCTTTAAATATTTAGCCATGAATAGAGGGGTGGACTGGGGTTGATAGCTTATTTTA